TTTAAAAAAAAAAAAAAAGAATACTTGTGTTCTCAGAGCAGGAGAGAAGAGTGAGGGGCAGAGGACCCCAGACTGAAACTAAAAGGTTGCTTACCTTTGAGGAGCAGGGGGAGAATAAAGGCCAACAAAGGAAAAGCGGGAAGTTAGGTAGCAGGGTAACATTGCTGCTCTAATGACAGTCTTTACTAGGTCAGAGGTGGGCAATTAAAAAAAAAATTAAATTCACCAAGTTAGAACATCACCGTGCTGTGCCGGGCTTAGCTCATGTCTTACATGATGTTATTGAATGAATGAATGAATGAATGAACTATAGGACATTTCTAAAATATTAACTTACCATATATGTCTCCAGTTCTTCTGGAAAGATCACAAACTTTACAGTTAATTGTTCTTTCAAATGGCATTTGGCAAAAGTTAAAACTTCATCAAACATAATCTCGGCTGCTATACTGCTCTGTATACCAATGTTTCCAGTCCCAAGGGCAGGAAAGGAAATAGAAGTTTTATTTAGTTCAAGGCATTTCTCCAAACATTCCCTCACTGCAATTCTCAGTGTCTGTAGGAAAAACAGATCAGCCTTTAAGTCAAAATAAAACTTCACTCACCCTTTGATCCTGCCCACATCTTACAATGCCAACCTCTACTCTCCCTCGGGGTCATGGCCATGCCTCCTTAGAGAGCAGGAAAGGCTCCACTCCGTGGAGAACCCATGACAGCCTTAAGGTTAGACGATGAGAAATAGAAGTCATTGAGGGGTCTGTCTGGGCGCCATGATTTCTCCCAGTTTATACAGCCTTGTCCATCTCCCCAGGTCAGAGAGCCAACCATCAGTTTATCCCATTTACCTGCCACTTCCAGGTTGAAACAAAGAGCTCTTGGAAGTTTAATAAAGGAGACAGAGGGAAAAATCCATAAGCAGCTTTATCCAACATCTTTAAGATATGTCCTAATGTTCTATGTAATTTTTTCTCGAGAAGTGCTAATATATTTGGCAGATTTAAACTTTCCATCAACATTTCAACATCCATACTGAAGTACAGGAAGGTTGTCTGTGGAAGGGCCTTGGAAAACTGGGGGGTAGGTAGTGACTGGAGGACGGGTTTGGGATTAGAGGGCTCTTAGTCAAAGAAGGACCAGAAATGGTGACAAAATAAAGATAGACAAAGACAGAGAAGGGGACTGTTTCCCTCTCTCCACATTTGAGTGGGTCCCCCCACTCTTTAATGTGTATGTTTTATGTGTCTCAGGTGAAGAGTTGGCCAGAAAGCCAATCTGCCAATCTCTACCTCAGGCATTGGTGGGAAGACACCACAGGTAATAGATTTACCTGGAATAATACTGGAAGGGAAATCCCAGGTCCTCCTGGCATTTAACTGATGGAGGGAAATACAGAGAGGCTGAATTCCAGGCCTGTTTAGGGAAAGGCCAACAGGGTAACAGAGGGGTGAGGTAAACAGGTGTGCAGACTGAGGGAGCCCACTCTTTCCATGTCTGTTTGCAGTATGCCAGCTTACAATTTAGACATGGGTTAGGTAATATTTAAAATTAAATTTCTTAAGATAACTTGTGACAACAACACTTTTTCTGTATTTCAGAGTGGTAGAAAATGAGGACTATCCCACTTACCAATATTTCATAAATGTAACGACATGATGGAACTTCAACAAAGACTATGTAGACTATGGAACTACATAAAGATAAACTTACTGTGAACTTACCTTAGTCTGTTTGCAACATCTTGAATCCCACAACACATGGTACACGTATTGACAGGGCAATTTAAATCCTTTTGTGACCACTACGAACTGAGAATCTTGTATCTCAGTAACTTTTTTATCAAATTCCAATTCTATTTCATCTCCTGCTTGTTGTAGGATTGATATTGACACAGGTCCATATCTAAGACCACAGAGTGGATTTACAGAATTAACAATTACATCTGTCTGCAAAGGGAAAAAAAAAAAAAGACGGACAGGATTCCTTGTTAAATTACTTTTTCCTAGATGTTCAGTTTGCTGAGGAGCTTTGAAAAAATGCTTTTGAAGATCTTAAATTCACAAGACATCTTTTGTTTGTGTGTTTGTTCTGCATAAGGTATCAATCAACGGTGGATAGAAACTCATAATTCCATTTGATTGCCATGAATCATTTGTCCTATTCAGAAATTAGGTGAAGTGCGTGGATGATACAGTTCTGACTGCAAATGTGTGTCAGCCCCTTGCTGCCCTATAACGCCATATTCCAAGATTTGGAGCATTCCCTGTGATTTGTTTTAACCTTTATCAATACATGGTTTCATCCCCTGCCCCACTGCCATCACTTTTGGCTATTTCTGTGTGAATTTTCTGTTCTGTTTTAAAGAGAGTGGAAATAAAATTTCTTGGGAAACTTCTACCTCCTAATGCTTTTCTTCTTAAAGAAAGCAGTACATGGTGGGCGCCTGGGTGGCTCAGTCGTTAAGCGTCTGCCTTCGGCTCAGGTCATGATCCCAGGGTCCTGGGATCGAGTCCCACATCGGGCTCCCT